TGCTGGATGTCTATGAATGAATGTGGATTTGAACAATGCAACGAAGGGTGTGCTGGCTGGTCTGTTGTCTCGTGAAACATTTGTTGTTGTTGTTGTTGGTGGTGGTGGTGTTGTTGCCGATAATATTGTTGATGATGGTCCGTAGAATAAAAGTAACTATGAGAAAGTTGCTGATGTTGTTGCTGATCAACTTGGTACGTGTGTTGCCCTATGTTAGATTGTTGTTGTTTTTGGTATTGTTGTTGTTGGTATTGTTGTTGTGGGTGAAAGTCATCTTTCAAGTCGTAACATTGTAAGGTGAGTAACAAGTTGTGATCTGTTGGTGTTTGTTGCTGGGATGAGACATGATGTTGTTGTTGCTGTTGATGATGTGCAAGATGGTGTTCGTGATGTTGAAGGTAGTTTTTTGATTGATAACCAGAATGCTGATGATGAACTGGCGAATAATGTTGCATGTTGAGCTGTTGCAGGCTTCGTAGATTGTGTTGTTCTTTCGGTAGCAACATTTCATCTATAGTTGGCTGTTGTTGGTAGTGTGGCAGTGATTGTGGTTCAAGATGAGGTTGGAAATAATTCAGCGTTTGTTCTGATTGTTGTGGCTTTAAAAAAACGTGTGGCTGTTTTAGTTGTTGTCCTAATTGTACTAAATCGTCAATTTCTTTTTGAAACACTGGTTGCAAAAGTTCGTGTTGATTCGTTTGATTCGGTTGATTCGTTGATTCGCTGATTGAAATTTGTTGGGATTGTTGTTGCACTTGGTCAAGCTGTTGAGTTTGGATTTGATGATGACCGTAACTGTTGTAGTGCTGTTGCTGATGCATACGTTGGAGATCAAAATTGCAGTCGTCACTTTGTTGCAAATAATCTTCCAATTGTTGTTGTTGTTGTTCTGGTTGGAATTGTTGTTGTTGTTGGCAATCATGTTGATAGCCTGTAGTTACAATTTGGTTGCCATCGTCATCGAACGATATGAACCTGCCAGTCACGGGATCTTCAATGTTCCTACATGTTTGTTAGGTGCAGAAGAGAATTTATTGAAATTTCAATTCAATAGATCTGCCGTAAATATTATATTTGAAAAAAAATTAGTAATTAAGAAATCGTATTTTAAAAACAAGTTTAATGAAGCTGAAAAATTTTTCATTATTCCATTCATTGGCCACCTGGCGACTGTCAAATAAACTTGTAGGTCATCAACCTTGATGATGTTCATGACGTCATTACACGTCATATCGGTGACCTCGATGTCGTTGACCTTCAAGATGATGTCGTCAGTTTTGAGGCCTGCGCTGTCTGAGGTGCTCAACGGCTGAATCTGAGATCAGAAGTGTGTAAATATATAAGTACAAGCGTGTTTGTAGACGTGTGTGTTATGTGAACGTGTGTGCGTGTGGCGTGTGTGTGTCTGGTCGTGTCGATGCGGACGTGTTTGTGTGAATGTGGGAATTCCCGTGCATGTGTGTATATGTGTTTTTATATCAGTGTAGAATATCAGAATGAGGATAGTGATGACTCCAGTGATCACGATGGTGATATTCCAAAACACTCACTTTATAAACGTAACTGATCAAACGAGGCGATGACAGGGAAGCTGAGAAAAATGTCAGCAACTTTGACGATCCTGCTGCTGCTTCCGGTGATAATAAAGATGACGAAAAAAATGTTGAGGAAGAAAAAGAGGAAGAAGAAGAAGAAGATAACTCTTTGAGACGAAACCCCCAAGGAGTATCTGAGTCCTGTCTCCGAAGATGAATGCACACCTCACTGAACATGTTCTGCATGTCGTGGGCATCTAACAAGTCTTGTCTCCTTTCCATGCTTCAAACTCTTTCTCAATCTCAACACGTGTTCGTGCTTTTGAAAATATTTTACTTTTAGCCAGAAATAAAAAGTTTCATTCAAAAACGTTGGTGTCCGTGGTGGTGATGTTCGAAAAGTATGTTGGGAGGAATAAATCAGCTTTTCCTTTTGGTTAGCGCGAAGCTGTGCATCTCAGTCTGAGTAATTTGATCTATGGAGAATATATCACAAGAAATAAATCATAAAAAATAAATAAAAATAAATATATATCACTAAAGCCAATCAATTTCAGTTGAATTATTTATGTTTTATGCAATTTTTTAAACAAAAATGACATTTTTAAATCAAAAAAGTTTTACGTCAGCTCATAATTTTGTTGCTCCCCCCATCATCATTTTCATCATCCTCATCTTCATCATCCTCATCTTCGTCATCCTCATCTCTCATCAGACATTTGGGAGGAAAAGAAATCTTATCACTGCTGTTCAACAAGCCTTGCTCCTCTAATAAGAACATCTTTTTATGTTATTATGAACGATATATACACACAAACATGTATAAATTATTTTTTTTTATTCAAAAATTTATTATATAACATTGGCTCAGACCGTATTAAACCAAAACATGCATGCATGCAAATAATTTTTCATCCAGAGTTTCAACAGGCTGATGCAAGCAGTACTACTGATTACTGTAGAGATAGAAATTGTAATGAAATATATGGTTACAGCATGATCAGAAAGTTGTTGTAGGATGTGTTTGAGGACTTTCAAAAAAAAGTTGAGAATATTTTTTATCGATAGGTCGGATCTGTCATGTCTTTAGAGTTGTTTGTCTCACTGAACTATGAAGAGAAATTCAATAAAAAATGTTAATTGATTTAGAAAACTAAATAAAATCTTCAAAATACCAGCATACAGCACTACAGTATACAGATAAACAAATCACATGTACTGTACATATTACTGCATTTACAACTATGGCGCGTGTGTGTGTTGTTCAGTCCTCAAAGGGTATATAACTATTTCATATGCTTTGTTTCATACAGTACACAAATATGCATAGTTATATATTGATGCGGTGAAAACAATGCGCATTTGACCTTCGGAGAGAGTTTCGCTACATTTTAAAAAGTGCTACGAAATCGTTGTTACGATGCTGATGATGTAGAAACGTGAAGTTGAGATTGTGATGATTTTGTGATGTTATGGCGCTGTGATGATCTATTATGATGTCATTTGGTGAAATAATATTGATGTTATTTCAATGTCATTTTGTGAAATTATCGTGGAATAATATTTGTAAGATGTTTCTAGAGCTAATGTTTAATTAAATCCATATAACGCTGGTCTGTTCTAGCTTGTACGTGTAGTTTAACGATTTGTTAAATGTTGGAACTCCTTTTTAATGTTGCGTTGTTGATGTTGCGTTGTTGATGTTGCGTTTGTTGTTGTGTTGCATCTGATGTTATGCTGTGTTTTACTTTTGTTGTTGTGTTGCATCTGATGTTATGTTAGTGTTTCTTGCACGACTTTAACGAATATTTCTGTCTGTATTAAAAAACAAGAAAAGCAACATTCATACGTAGAAAATAGTCCTGAAAGCGAGTTATACGAGTTAATAGATTGCTCTATTTTTTTCTGCTTTCCTATCTAATTGCTTCAGCAGAGGAAACAGTTTACGTTATGTGAGTAAGTTGCCTTGCTTTTTTATCCAGAATTTTTCTGTTTTATCATAAATTATGTTAATGAGTGGTACATAGACCATTTTTGGCAAATTAATAACACTAACTCTACTACTGTTACTGCTGCTACTACTACAACTACTACTACTAATACTGCTGCTGCTGCTACTACTGCTACTACTACTAATACTACCACTACTACCACTATTACTACAACTACCACCACTACTACATCACAGTCATGAATGACGTATGAAAGTGATTCACATTTCATTCATCAACTGACTCGATATAATCTGCTTGAATATGCAGGAAAGGCAGAGTGTGCCAAATGAATAATTTATTTCCATAATCACGATTTTTTTCAAGCTTTTCTTTAAATATCTCACGCCTAACGAAATATTCATTATTCAAAAATCTGCCAAAATGTTTTTTCATCGATAGATGTCCCACTTTAAAATTATTTTTCATTTTTGGACTTTAAGAAGCGCAGGCCTTTCCGAGCGTAGGGACCATGATATTCAAGTAACTAACAGCAACCACAGAAACATGATTGGTTGATGTTTTAATAGGAATCGGAAAAAATTCTCAATTCTACTTTTTCACTGTTAAAGTAGTTACAAAAAATTTAATTCTTTGTAACGGTTTCAATAATAATTTTTTTTAATATTTCTTCTGAACATGTTAACAGTGTTCCAAAATTTAGTGGTTGGGAATGATTTTCAAGATTCTAAAATATGACCTTTTTCGCGTATATTTACATTTTAGTGGAGTATGATTCAAAAATGTTAACTTGGTGAACTTTTTTACACAGAAATCTTCAGTATTTTCTTCGTTAATGGTCTAGTGGGGTGATGCGGCTTTCCCTCACCCCTCTTGGATCTGCCACTGGTTGGATGTTAATACGTTCTAATGAATAACTTTAAGTATTTTTAATACAAGTTTATCGATTTTTTTGCTTCATATAACTGTTCTTTTCGAAGAATTTGATGTTGTAAATAATTTTAATAACTCTACACGGTCTTGTGATGGTCTTATTTTTAAATTTCTTTCCAAATCTACAATCTCTAACGTTATTATTTCTTTTTATTTGATTAATTAATCTTATTTGAACGGTTATTTTCCAGTCTGTTTAAAAATCTCTTAAGTTACACCTCTTTTCAAATCTGTTTGCAGTTTCAATTTTTTCGATTGGCTGGCCAAACAAGTGGAAACTTCGGCTCTCCATAGCAGTGTATTTCATTGAATGAAAGATTTTTGAATTATTGTTACTATAATTATTATTACTATTGTTATGATTACGATTATTATTGTTATTATTGTTGTTTTTATAATAATAATAATAATAATAATTATTATTATTATTATAATGGTATTAATAATGGTAGCAATAACAATATAAGAATAATAATGGATACTGTATCATCATGTTTGGCATCTACGAGAGAGACGCCGGACGAGGGAGCAGGACCCGACTTCCCCTCATAAACAGGCAGCCGACCTCTGCTACAATGTTCAGTCCTGGAACATCACTACATTACATCAACAATTGCGAAAGAAGCCCCAGATTTCCCATTCCAGTTGAAAGAAAACTGAACTAGAACAGATGATTGATGAGATTTGAGTGTTTTATTTTCACATTAATAACTTTATATTTGCATGTACGTACGTTTTAAAACTCAATTTAAATATTAAACTGACCTACTCTAGTTGTACACATTCTATACTATGTCGAGCAATATAGAGACAAGGTTCAGACTGTATAAAATATATTATTGCCTTTTTATTAACTTTATTGCAACTCTATGTTTACTATAAAATTTGATTGATAACGCCAAAATAATAAGAATGATTGAACCCCAATTGAACAATTAAACCAGCCCCTCTAAAATGTACTCACTTGCAGTGAGGTGCATTTTAGATTAAATAGGATTTTATAATTATTTCATTATTAATATTTGGTATTTGGAGTTAGAAAATAAAAGGATGTTCCCATTATTATTATTATTATTATTATTAATTATTATTATTGTTATTGAAACACGAGAGTTGGCCGATTTCGTACAGCTTACAGTTTTATGCATAATTACGTTTTTATTAGTTGATTAATTGGTTTTAAAATTGTTGTACTGTGTTGATAAAATTGTGTGGAATATGGCGGTGGTTTTAAAATTTAATTTTAATAAAGTTTACTATTTTATTTTAATTATTTTAATTAATTTAATTTACGAAATTAATGCAAGTAAATGCCCGTATTGCGATAAGGATTTTATTCAAGTAAAAAGACACACCTGGCGTTGTGCAAAAAATACCAACTCTAATAACAACATTGTAAGTTCTGCTGAAAAATCCAACGTTGAAGTTTCTCCTAATATTTTTAATGCACATTCTATAGATAACAGTTCAATTAATTTGGAAAAAAATATTATTTGCTGCTGCGGTAAAAGCTGCAAAGGTAGAAAAGGCCTTATTATGCACCAACGTTCATGTAAAATGCATAATCAACTTAAATTAGCAGACAACCCTGCAAGCGACGTAGATGCAACCTTACCAACCTCGGAGCAACAACCATCAGAACCATCAAATAATTCGACATCTACTTCGTCACCCTCACCAACAGAATCAATAGAATCAACTCTACCAGGCGTCAAACTACCAAAAACTTCAACACAATGGTCAGAAGCAAACGCCTACTTCCAACTGCAACAACATACACTGCCAAGCTACCACGACATTGACGCATTTGCATATACATTTCAAAAAATGATTTACGACTACTTTGCCTTAAATTATGGCACCATCAAACGATCAACAACAACAACAAAAGTTCCAACAAATCTATAAAAGAATTAAAAAATAAATTTGAGCAACTAAAATTATTGGGCCGCAACAAACAGGGCTTTGACAATCTTATCAAGATCAACAAGTAAGGACTGCGGAGCCAACTTGTTATCAACAAAAATATCAAAATCTGATAAGTCATGTGGTGACATCAACTCAACTGAAACGACGATTCTGGTGGACATGCAGAAGAATATTTGCCCAGACAGAAAATTTGAACGTCAGTGATTGCGCACATTATTTCAAACAAATACTATCAGATGATAACCAGAAAAAATGCCAACTACCAAACTGGACTCAACAGCTACAAAAACCATCAACACCCTGCAACGCAACCCCTCCATCATACCACGAAATATCTACAATAGTTCGCAAGTACAAAGCTAGATCATCACCTTGCCCACTCGATCAAATCTCGATAATTTCATTTAAAAAATGCCCTATATTACGCACTATTTTACACAAACAATTGTCAGGCAAAATCCCAATTTGTTGGAAAAAGGGCTTCACGATCCTCATCCACAACAAGGGAGACGCTCACAATCCTTCCAGCTTCAGACCAATAACCTTGCAACCAACACTCTACAAAATATTTTCATCTTTCATAGATAATAGAATTTAAAAATTTTTAGAAATCAACAATTTCATAAATAAAAACATCCAAAAGGGCTTCTACCCGAAAATAGATGGTGTAACGGAACATAATCAGCTTTTAACTCACCTACTCTACGATGCGAAGAACCACTATCGTCGCACTTCTCGATCTTCGCAACGCATTCGGTGAAGTCAGCCATAAACTCATATCATCAACTCTGGATTTTCATCACATCCCCTCTCAAATTATCAAACTAATTGAACATATATATATATACCAACTACTCAATCACAGTTTCCGGATGCGACCAACTAACCCCGCCCATTTTAATCAAGCGTGGTGTATTGCAAGGTGATCCCGTGTCTCCACTGTTTTTCAACCTCTGCTTCAACCCCCTGATGAAAGTCATAAAACAAACAGAGTACCAACAATGCGGGTACATATGGGGTCCGTCAGCCAGCTTAAAGACAAGAGCGTGGCTTCAGTTCGCAGACGACACGGCCATTATCGCCAACAGCACCGAAAGTGCTCAAAAACTCATAGATGTAAATCACGCTTGGTGCAAAGCAACTGGAATAAGTTTGAGAACTGACAAGTGTTCCTCGTTCGGTATGCGAAAACGCAGCGGGGTTTACGAACAATTCCTTCCGGCGCTATCGATCGACATCAAATAAATCTCCATGTTGACATCGGAGATATTTCGAATATCTGGGGAAAAAATATGATTTCGAAGGCAACAACACAAACGCCAAAAACCAGATGATCATCAAACTCAAAACATTACTATCAACCGTCAGTGAACTGGATACAACAGTTCAGTGGAAGCTTGAAATCCTTAGAAAATATCTTCCATCTCAATTTGCGTTTGAATTTCGCATGTACAACATTTCACTGACTTGGATTAATATGCATCTGGACACCCTAATCACCGAAACAGTAAGATCATGGCTGTCATTGTCCATTAGTAGCTGTCTGTCGGAGACATTGTCGCTCCCATATAAATTAGGCGGCCCAAACGTTAGATCTCTCAAAAATTTTGCCGAATTTTTGAGATTAAAACTCCGTAGCTACCTGAAATCAAACGGCAACGAAGAACTTAAATGTTTATGGAGCGAGTCCTATAGCAATTATATAAAAATCGACAATTTGCTTCCTGACTCAAAGGACATAAAACCGGCACTCAGCATGTTAACGATCAAACAACAAAATGCAGAACTCGAACATCTATCGTTACTCCGTTGCCAAGGGACAATTTTAAAAGTGATCAAAGGCCAGATTCCCGCAGCTCACTGGTCGAAATTCACTGCAAACCTCCCAGAAGTACTGTTCAAATTTGTTAGGAGAAGTCTCATCCAACAACTCCCCACAAATGCAAATTTGTTCAGATGGGGCAAATCATCAACGGCTGACTGCCCATTGTGTAAAGCGCGGCAAACAAACAAACATGTTCTGTCTAATTGCAATTTGGTGGCAGCACTAAAAAGATTCACAATGCGTCACAACAAAATTTTAAACATAATTATAGAAAGGTTGAAAGCATGCGCGGGTCCAGAGGTTTCGATATATGCAGATGGGGACTATGATGGGATCCCTCCAGTGTCTTGTCTCTTTAAATCCCTACGTCCTGACATCGCAATACTTCGTGACGACACAATAGAAATATTAGAGCTGACGGTCTGCCATGAATTCAACCTACTCAACTCAAAAAAATATAAAACCATCAAATACTCAGAAAATCTCAAAAATAATTTGCATGACAATTCAATACACCTGAAAATAATAGTTAATACTTTTGAAATTTCAACATTGGGCTTTTGCAATTTTTTAAATTTATCATTAATCAATAACATTTGGTCAGATCAATTTTATAATAACCTTATTAACTCTGTAATACGGTCATCTTATGCCATCTACTGTGAACGCAATAACAATTGAACTGTTCGTTTAAAACTAATCATATCTCGTTGTACTCGTTTATTTCAAATGATGAGCATCGTAGAATACTACTGTATTTAATTTAATTTAAATCAATTTATCTATTTTATTTTATTTTATTAAATTTTAATTAGACTTTTATCTCATTTTACTATATTTCATATTTTTCTAGAAATAAAAGAGAGTTCACATTATTATTATTATTGTTATTATTATTATTATTAATAAAAACTCACATAAATTTTCAAAGAAAATAAAACGTTAGTTCGTCGTCCTTCGTCGGAAAACTTTTCAAAAATCCCAAAATTTTGAAATTCTTGAACTGCTTATGTCCTTTACTGAACCCCTTATGTCTTCTTTGTGGCGCTAAACAAACGAACAAGCACGTAGTTTCCAACTTTGGATCCGTAGTCGCGTTAAAACGATATACAGAAAGACATGATAGAATTTTATCAGAAATTTCATCAATTGCTTGATGTCAAGCCGTTCATCTGATTGCCTGATATTTGCTGATATCGTAATGTCACAATGTCACAACTGTTCGTCAACCTACGTCCAGACATCGCCATTCTACAGGGCAAAAAAATTGAAGTCGTTGAGTTGACAGTGTGCCATGAAACTAATCTAATTCATTTTAAAAATTACAAGCAATCGAAATACATTAATAATTTAAATTCATGTTTAACTTTTGATTATAAAAACTATAATATTATTTTAAAAACATTTGAAATTACTCCGATCGGCTTTTTTAATATTTTAAATTTTATATCTCTTTTAAAACTTCATTGTCTAATACACTTATTGATAAATTGATCAATTCTGTAATTAAATCGACATACGCTATATATTGCGACAGAAACATTGTATGACCATTTTAAATAAGCCTCCTATTTGCACTTGTCAAATGATAATGAGTAATAGGGTTTTATCATATACTAAATTATTACCAATAACTAGATTTTTATTACTATATATATTGAATATTGTATCATACTGTATGTTTTATGATATTTGATTGAAAAAAAGAAGTGTGCCCATTATATTATTAATCACCTTCATCATCACAATAAACACTATTATCATCTTCATCATCTTAATCATCATCATCACCGTCATCATCATCGTCATAACCATCATCGTCATCATCTTAACCATCATCATCATCGTCTTTACTATCATCATTACCGTCCTTGCCATCATCATCATCATCGTCATGAAGCTGGATGACGTCACACAGATAGGAAGGCAGGTGAGACAGACGTTAAAGTCTAATTGATAATATTTCATGGCGAGGCCATGATGATGATGATTGTCATCGTCGTGATGACGATGATGATGACGATGATGATGGTGTGATGATTATGATTTTGATGATGATGATGACGGTGATGATAAGGATTGCTATGATTATGGTGGTGATGTAACGATTGTGATGTGACGACGACGACGACGATGATGATAATGACGTGATGGTTATGATGATGATGGTGGTGATGAAGATGACGACGATGGTGGTCATTATGAAGACGATGATAGTGATGAAATTGATAACAAAGGTTTGATGCGAAATTGTTATTGAATTGGGATTTCTGTAGTTACTTGGATTAGATTAGCGTTTCTATTACTGTTGGCATTCAAATAAACGTTCAACAAAGTTTATGTAACAAATTTATTGTAATTTTATGTTTGATGTAATTTAATGTTAAACATTACACTAATAAATATGTTACGGTAATAAACAAAGTTAAATATATAAAATATAAGCCGATGTGAATGTCAGTTGTGTTGGGTCAAACTTAAAAGCACCTTCAATCGCAACCTCCTCCTCCTCCTCCTTCTTTTTTTTTCTTCTTCTTCTTTTTCTTCTTCTTCTTTTTCTTCTTCTTTTTTTTCTTTTTCTTCCTCTTCTTCTTCTTCTTCTTATTATTATTATTACTGTGATTGATTCATATAAATCAGCGTCACTGTCATAATCATTTTCTCCGGAGCGTCGTCATTAGTTTCGTTATCAGAATAAATAAGGTGATTAGCGCTGTAGCAGCAATCATCATCATCACCAGCATCACCAGCATCATCATTACCATCATCACTATCATCATTGTCATCATCATCGTCTTCATTTTCATCATCATCATCCCCACCATCATCATTACCATCATCGCCATCATTCTTATAAATTACCTCCAATGTTTTCAAGTGCTGTTAGCGTCATCACGGTCAGTATCATCATCGGTGACGTCATTGTCATCCCTACTGTTGTTGTTATTAATCATCATCAGCAACACCACCACCACCATCATCATCATCATGCTCCTCCTCCTCATCACCATCATGAATTACGTCATAACGCTGATCCTACATGCAATTACATGCTCATAATGCATAATTAGCTGCTCATTTCATTGACGTAATCATCCATTTCTTGATTTTTATTATTATTACTACTATTATTATCACTATTATTATTATTTTTATTATTATTATTATTTTTAGAAAAAAAGAAGAAAAGGAAAAATAAAGAAGACATCACCAACCAACTAAAAAAGAAATTTTGGTCAACATGCAAAAATATATTTCAACCGGCAAGTGACGTTCAACCTGCGTTTGAAATTTCACACTGCCAAAATTATTTTCAAAATATTTTAAAAGAATCTCAGCATAGCAATTGCTGCTTACCACCATGGATTTCGCGGCAAAAACACGCTACAATTCCTTTCAACACCAACTCTCCAACTTATAATGAAATTGCATCAATAATTAAAAAATGTAAATCAAAGGCATCTCCATGTCCTCTGGACCAAATTTCGATAATAATATTTAAAAGATATTTAATTCTACGCACAATTCTTCACCAATT